TTCAAAACAGCACACCAAAACCCACTGTTTTCTATGAATAAATAATAAAAAGTATGTCTGTACATTATCATTCATGCATTCTCCAGTTGCCCCATTGGTGATTTGTCTGCCGGCATAAAATGGGCACTTCTTAACTAAACAGATCTTAACTAAAGCTAAAATTCATGTTATGATTCCAGCAGTTCTTTTCCCCAAATCTATCGAATGAGGTTAGTTGTGTAAGTGCTGTAATATTTCATGGAATCTAGTCAACCGAAAAGATCTGTGATATTCTACAAGTGGAGGATTTTGGATCTGTCTTCTGCATCCTTGTTCAGACTATTCAACAGGAGCTTTGCCAACATTTAGAACTTGTATTTATAAACAAAATTTTAAAAGGATGCTGTATTGATACATGAGCTGCCAAAGGAACCAGAAAATAGAAATCTTAGCAGTAAAATTTTTCCTATGAATACTTTTAAAGAACAATCTATAATGTTAAGGAAGTGGTATACTGGAATTAGTGAAGAGAGGTTCAAAACATATGGGTTGAAAAACATAAATTAAATTAAATGTAATCTAATTTAAATGTGGTTTAAAATTAAAAATAAACCAAAGGTTAGAGAAACTTTCATCTAAAGGAACACTTTATCAAATAGATTATATTTGTAATTAAATCCACATGGAAGTGGCCTTACTTTTTATAATCAAACTTCAGGTGAGTTGCAGGAATAAGGAGTGATGTTCTGGGAAATCAACACTACTGAAAAGCAGTTGCAGAAAATTAAGATGACAGATTAACAGGATTCCAACCATGATTCACTTTCTTATGACACTTACCTTTAATAAGTAACAGAACAAATTCGCCACAGAAATGCAAACAAAGTAACAACAAATATACACTTAACCATAAAGTGTCATAGGAGTATTTGTATATATTGTTGTTGAATGTGTTGTTTTCTAATTTTATGAAAATAGCAGTTTTAAATTACTCAATGTTAGTAGGTAATTTTTAAAGTGTGTTCCATAGGGCCCATCTAGATGGAAAATAGAATCTTGGTTTACTTTGAGAGAGTTTCTGAGTGAGAGCTAATGCATGAAAGTAAATTGATTCACACACTTTAAATCACTTTTATATTATCCAGAAAGATGAAGATAAAAAAAGAAAAAAGCCAGAGCCTGGTAAACATTTTCTCCTCAAATTAAAAGAAGGAAGCAGTTAGTATTTCTCTTCATCCATTTTTAGGACAGGACATTCAATCAGAATTTGAGCTCTCTAATAAAGGACAAGTGACTCAACTGACATTTTTTAAAATTTCACAGGCTGCAAGAATATGAGTGAATTGGTATACAGTCCTGAGGGTGGGCAAGGCTGTGACCCTCATTGTAATATACAGGAATTAACACAAAAACCTGCTATAAAGACAAAGATTCTGACCCTATAAAGAGACCTGCTCCGGGTCCCATTGAAATGAATGGAACTCTGCACTGAAGTAAGGGCCCATCTATGTGGATTCAAGTTGCAAACAAAAATACTAAAATAATGGGGAAAGGCTCTAGTCCCCATTTTGTGTGTGCTGTGCTGCATATATACTCTCATTTCCATCTGCTCCCCTTTTTGGTCCCTACACTCCTTACAAATCCAGTTTATTATCTTCTCCCTCTCTGAACTTGGTTCCTTCATTCATGTAATCCCCAGTATTTGTTTCTCTTCCCGGCCTTGTTGCCCTCACCTTGTAAGGGAAGGTGTGGTGAGATTATTGGACTGTTATGCAGTATTTTCTTTTAATGCTTCACTTTGAAGAGAGAGCTTTTGAAGGCAAAGAACACACAAAGTGTAATATAAAGTTATGGTGCTGTTTGTTTATTATGTTTATTAAATAATGGCTCTACTAAGACAAAACGGAGAATTAGGAATCCTAAATTTAAAAGAGAGAGAAAGTGAGTGAGAGGAAAAATCAGTTACTGGATTTGGGGCTAACAATGATCCAATATTGTTTGGTAAGGCACAAGGGAATAAAGACTCATACTCTCAGCTGAGGGGTTAAAGTCGAGGCATTTTAGAAGGTTTAAAGGAGGATATAAGGTTAAAACTATCTTCTTTAAAAGATTAAATCAATCCCAGAACAGTGGGTATAAATAGAAGGCACATTCTGCTTTGTGTGATGATGTAACTTCCAAAACATTTGTTATATGACTATACAGCCGTTTTCGCAGTTTTTCAGTTTATTAGGGTTTAAACATCTTAAAGTTATAGATATATGTACTTTTTAATGACACCTATTGTACAAATTTTTCCTATTATATTACAAATGTCAAGGAAGGCTCCATTTCTATATAGTGTGAAAAAATACTAGATATAATTAACTTCAATTAATAACAAACAGTAATGGGCCACATAAATCATTCCTGAATAAGACAGTTATTCATGTATTAACTTATATGTCCTCCATGTGGGGGGGGGAGGGACAGGGGGAGGGAGTCTAGCTGCATTTCACTAACAGATCTCACTAAATACATGGTATAACTATAAGTAAGTGCTAATCAGAATAAAAAAATGTAAACTCCACGTATGTGATGGATTTGTTCTGCCATTTCAAAGTATTAATTTGTAATAGGCATGCAGTGTTTACATGGGGCATTGCACTGAGTGCTGTTCCTGCTGGCCAATATTAAGGAGCAGCACCTGAACATATGTCCTGACTCATAGAAGTAGGTTACCTCTTAACCCATTAGGATATAAGGGATGAGGGGTAACTGTCTAAATAGAGGATCTGGGGTGTGGGCTGAACAGTCTAGAAGGAGAAATCCTAGGAGTTGTCAAGCCTGAGGAAAGATTTCTATTGAAATGTGTTATTGTTAATTTCTGTGTTGTTAAAACTGAACCCTAGAAAGTTCTCGTGTGTGGAGCTGTGTTTTAGAGTAAATTGGGAAAGACACCAGCTCACAGAACTTTTAGTGGCTTTAAGTCACTAACAAGAGGTAGTATGAGGGCTAAAGCCATACAGCTTGTTTTGTTATCTTCTAATTTTTCAGTAGATTCTTCATCAACATTCACATTGTGCTTTTTAATCTTTTTAACTGGGAAGTTTGCATATTTAATATCCCCAAAGCCACTAGGGGTAGGGGCGTGTGTGTCCTGCTCTTTGGGTTTGGAGTTAAATCTTCACAGCCCCTCACATCTAATATGGTTACTGGCATGTGATCCAATCCTATTTGCATAAGTGGTCCCACAGTTTTACTGGCAGGAGTAAGGGTTGCAGGATCAAGACCAGCATCTCCTCACTGCCATCTCTTGTAGGGATCCTATGATACTTGGCAGTGTGGAGTGTGTTTTCTTTAAGGTTTGGGAAGTTACTTGGCCAATCATTTTCTTGTGAAAAGGAAGGGATGTGAGAATTCTCTGCCTGCAAGAAAACTGAGTGATTTTATGTTCCACAATGGGACTTGGTTTTCAAACATCCCTGCCCTTTTTTCCTTTAGCAAGATGCTGCCTTTAAGATTTTCAGTTGTGAGGAATTTTCCTTTAATATGGAGAAGTGGGATTTACCTCTACAAAGCTCTGTCCTTTCAACTTCTTTCCATCAATATGCTTGTCTAGGTCACTTATTTTTGGATGTCATTGTTTCACATCTCCATTCCAGGCTGTAAGTTCTGTCTGCTCAGACACTTTGTTGACTTCATTGTCCTGCCTCTGAAACCATCAGTGAGGTGCGGGTGGCCAATGATGTTGGTGTCTGAATCTGCTGATCTTAGTGTAGGCCAAGGCTTGAAGAAATCTCTGTGTTGTCTTTGTTATTAGACATTTTCTTTCTCAGGTATTTTAACCTAGGTTCCAGCTTACTTTCAGAATTTTTTATTTGGCAGCTAGCTTGTGTAAAGGACCTGTGCTGCTGCATTGATTTTGATCTTGAATACCTCTAAAATGTTCTGTATTATTAAGTCAATAATGGTGATGTTTATTAATGGTATTGCAATAGGGAAGTAACATAATACTTTTAGCACCTTATCATTGCAAAGCTCCATGATCTTGCATCATTATTTCTAAAAGAATGTGGTGTAACAGACTGTAGGGAGATCTCATGAGAAATCAGGTAATACAGTATGATTGCTGAAAAATTAACACAAGTCATGGCCGTATGATTCTTTAAAGTTTTTCAAGCCATATAAAATAAAGCAAAAAAATAAAAGCAGTTCACCAGGAAGTGCTCAGATAGATATGTTGTCTCTAATGACTCTCAGTCCAATTTGACAAAATTTTAAAGTTTAAGTTACTTTCACTTTTAAAATTGTCTCTAAAACAAAATCTTGCAAAACAATTTCAGATTCAATTTCCTGAAAGTGGAAAAGTTACACTAAGCACTGTAGGTTTGTTCATTTTCATGTGTTAATTCTGGTATTCTAAAAGCATGCAAATTGCATTTGTCTTTAGATTTATAAAAACTAGATATTCAGAGTTTGAATTATTTAAACTCCCACAACACATGCACTTTTGCTTTTCAAGCATGAGTTATAATTTAATTAAAAACTTCTGGTGCATCGCTAGCTATTTAAATATTAAAATGTTCCATGGATCACTTTCGATTATCTACCGTCATGAAATTCCTGAAGATGTCAGATTTTTAAGATTCCCAAAGTTGCACTTGGAATTGTCTGTTGATGCAAAGGGGACTGTGATAATTACATCCATCCATTAGTATCAGCAGAGGAGATAAACTTTAGGGAGGCTTAATGGGCATGTCTCAGTGACAGCTAGCAAAGAACATTTGGCATGATTAAGGATGGATTTGAATGTACTTGAAAATATACTCTCATTATGGATGCCCAGTGGAAGTTGCACTACAAATGTTAAATTCCCCAGAAGAAGAGTTGTGTGGCAGAGAAGCTTTGAAATCCACTGTGGCCGTCATCCGAATTATTCTTTTCTCTTTATGTCTTTCCGCTGTCAGATTCATTTTGTGATGCCCAACTTGCTCCTTGCATCTTTGAAAAGAGGCAACCTGTTGATTTCTGTGTTACAGATTGTCCGAAGACACATCAAGGATTGGCTTGAGAGGAAGAAACCTCCATTTGGTGCTATCAGCAGCTGTGTGCTCCTGATGATCATCTATACAACGTTCTGTGACACTTTCTCTAATCCAAATATTGACCTTGATAAATTTAGCTTGATTATAATAGTGTTCATAAGTAAGTTCGGTCTTAAACTATCCCTTTTATCACTTATTTGTCTCCCGTGTGCAATGAACAGTGTATACTGGAAAGAAAAAAGAAGGAAATACATTTAACTGCCATGAGGCTAGATTTTGTATTTTTAATACATTTTGCAAGCAAGATAGATTAGAAAAATTCCTAGAGGCTGCATATTTTTAGGATGTTAAGGAAGCAACAGCAGTAATAAAAGTATGAACCCTGCTATTATCTACACTTGGGATTGCTCAAAGTAGCATTTCCTTTCTAAAGTAATAAGTTTTCAAATATCAGTGTCCATCCTGTTGAAGTTGTAGCTATTAAAGGGAAGTTCATGTTTTGATTTGGCACTCCTCACTGAAAGTGTAGATTCCAGTTGGAGCTATTATTGACAGAAAATTATGTTAATAGCTTATAAAAAGCTGGTTTTTACTTTCCTTACTATATTATAAATCTTGAAAATATTGGGATTTTTTACATGATAATTTTTTTGTGGTTGAAGTAGTTTGTTAGAAAGTACTTTTTTGGTACTCTTTATTTTATTCATCAGATTTAAGTAATATATTTGAGAACAGTGTCCTGGTATCCATCAGTTAAAAATACATTACACAATCATTAAGAACCAAAACAGCAGGATCCCTATCACCTCCCCACATATTATTTAATTATTAATTTTAAATAGTTCATGCAGACTAAGGTCTGTACTGTCTTTCTTTAGCAGAGGCTCCCTGGGAGTAGAAATTTGCCCTGAGAGCACGAAGTACTCACTGTCCCACTCCACCAGGGGAGCTGTAGGCAGCTAGTGTAACCCTAAAAGTGGGTAGCACTGCTTGGGAAAGGCATGTGGCCCAGACTCCAAAGGGGTTCACTGACTCAAGATTCCTATGTGACAGGGCTCCTCTGGAGCCTGAATGCATCTTAAAAGCTGCTCTCCCCTGTCAGAACTCCCAGTATCACCTGCCTTTCCAATAGGCATAATCTGCTCCCCCCTCCCCCACAGATACAGCAGCCCATATTAGTGTAGGGGGATGTAACTTGGATCTCCCAATACCAGCACTGTAGATCAAATCCTGTTTAGTCTAAAACCATTGAATTTCAGGAAAGCACTTGAGTCGCCTTTTAGTATATAGGTGTCATAGAATATCAGGGTTGGAAGGGACCTCAGGAGGTCATCTAGTCCAACCCCCTGCTCAAAGCAGGACCAATCCCCAATTTTTGCCCCAGATCCCTAAATGGCCCCCTCAAGGATTGAGCTCACAACCCTGGGTTTAGCAGGCCAATGCTCAAACCACTAAGCTATCCCTCCTCCCTTGGTACAGTGTCCTTGATACAGTGAGTGAAATCCTGGCCCCATTGAAGTCAATAGAAGTTTTGCCATTTACTACATTTCATCTTGCATCCTTGGTTGCAAAAGTGTATATGCTCTTCAGATAGTCTGTCGCCTTACATACAAAAAGGAAATAATATTTTTCACTTGTTCCAAGTAAATAGAAAAAAATCACACCTATAAGAGAATAAACAATTACATATCTTGTCTTTGTGTTTTAAAACACTCAATTCATAAAAAGCCCATCACTTAATTGAATAATGTTTGAATTTAGTAAAAAAAGCTGACTTTGCTGTGGGATTTTTAGATAAATTCTTGTCTAATTTGTGTAGATTTTATAGCTCTCATAGCACTACTTTTGTAAGGCTGGGTTTTGCACCCCCTGTCCCACAGTGTTCACCCAGCTGTGGCTGTTTTCCAGTGGTGGATAATCTGTGGAGCACTTTCAGATGAAAAACACTATATACATGTAAAATATTACTTGCAATATTCGTTGCCAATTCAACATGATAAAATGCTTGTGTAATTGATAGTAAACTGCAGAACTGACATTGTAAAATGAGAATAAATAAAAAGAGTGTACTTCTAGTGAGCTTTTTCAAAATTGCTAAGAAGGAAATATAAAACCAAAAAGAATTCAGATGAAGGGTATGCATGCTAAGAGGAATATTCTCCCCTGATGATGTGCGTGTAACTTCCATGCACAAATCTGTGCAAATAGAGGGGAAAAAACGTAAATTCTCTGTTAAAATGTAAAGAAAGTAAAAGAGAAACTTTGATTAAAAGACACTCCTGTTACTCAGACAGCATAACAACTGGTGTGAAAAACAGGCAAAGCTGCTTTGCAAACTATGCTTTTTGGGACTGTTCATGCAGTCCAGTTGCTTCCATTGCTTTTCTTGTCATTTACAGTAGTGTTTTGAAAGATTAGTCTGTTTGCCACATTCAGGATAAAAAACTTCCGGTACAACATTGTGGTTCTTGTAATTGTGAAAATCATCCAACTTCATTTATTTTTTTGCCTATTCTATATTTAGTCAGTTCCAATGTGCATAACTAAAATTCCTTAGCAAAAACATTAATGTACACCTTGATACTTCTAGTTCTATAATTTGCTACAGATAAAGCATGTCTTTATTTCTAAAATATTTAGAAAGTTGAAAAATGAGGAAAGTCTGTACTACTTCATTGGAGTCATTGGCTATGTGCCGTGTTATTTCAGTGGCAAATTTGGTCTGAGATTTTTAAGAGGAAAGTATATTTATCATTCTCCAGATTATTGTTTAAAGGTAACTTGTATGTTAATATTCTAGCCTCAGTGAAGTATATATAACATAGCATTGATAGCAACATTGGTGTTTATTTGTATGTAGCTATTACAGAAAGGATGCATTTTCTGTGCATGGTAAATTAATGCATTTATGCCAAAGAAAAATGATTTACAATTCCGTAACAATTGGTTGATTCCTGTGAAGTAAAATACCAAATGAAATGTGAGGCAAAAATTTTAGTGTGCCCATCTCAGGAAATTCTCATAATAAATGGAAAATTTCATTGATAGTTAAGAGATTCTTTCAGTCTTGGTTTAATGTGTCAGTATTGCCCAGTACCAACAGTATTGCCCAGTTATAAATTGGGGCCAAACTGTTGCCTTATCTTACCTTGTACTATGGGACACATTAGCTTCATGGTCATCACATACCCAGGCTTTGCAAGAGAGGGGGTTCTGCACCAGATTTCTAGCAAATGTAAAAGTGCGCCCTCCTCCTTCTAAAAGATCTCTGGAAATCCTAGTCTTATGCCACACTTGCCCTATTCTCCCCACAGGGGGTTGCTGCGGTCCCACATTGAGGTGGATCCACTCAATCAGCCTGTGTGACCACACACATCATTCAGTTTCTTCAAATGTCACACAGCCAGCCTGATTCCCACACGTGCTGAGAGGTCTGGGAAGGCCGCTTGTCAGTTGCCTTTCCATAATTGCCCCATTTCTTATATAGCATTTGGGTGGGATGTGGTCTCAGATTCCATGCTTGGGGACTGGGCTGCCATGTAGACATTAAGTAAGGTAGCTGAGAGGATGGTCCCCCTCAGGACTGTCAAATATGTCCACACCTGTAAAGTTCTGTTATGCTCAACAACTGCTGAGGGCTTCAGGCTGTGTGCACTGCTTGGTTCAGGAATTGGCTTTTTTCCAGTAGGAATGCAAACATATATATAGGTGTCTCCTAACCCCTGTTAACAATTATGGAAAGTACAAGCATTTCATCAAGAGGGCAATATACACCAGAGTGTGGGCATGTTTGTGTCTGCAGTATTCACACTTACATGTGATTTTGCAATTTGTTAAGCAGAGATATATCTGGCACCTAAAGTATGTCAGAATGTTGCACTATGTCATCACTCCTGTGAAGCAGTACTCTGGAAATGGATGCATGGCATTCACCAGTCAGCTTCTCTGTCAATGAGACATCATGTCAGGAACTACCTTATTCAGAGGCAGTGCTTCTGCAAGTGCTGCCATAACCATAGTAATCGCATTTGCTACAGAAATGCTTCCTCAGACATGGTGATGTCCACTGCTCCTTCAGAAATAATTGTCCTTTCCACAAGTCTTTATATGCCCACGCACTTGGCTGGATCAAATTTCTTTGAGTATTTTGGTCCATCCTTAAGCATCAGATGTGTATCTTTTCATACTTTATGCAGGTGTAAAAGGTATGTACACAGCATACAGTACAGTGGTTTAGGTGAAATTTATTTTTACCATGTAAACTTAAATTTAACTTGTTTCTCTTTCAGTATTTTTTGTTCAGCTGAGCTTCATGCTTTTAACTTTCCTCTTTTCTACAAGGTAAGTGGATTAGAATGTTTTGAACAAATGTACAATATAAAGTGTGTATATTTATTTATGCATACATTTAGGGGCATGTTCCCAAAACAGGGGTGACTTCATTCTAGTGATGCTTTTGCTGCATCTCCCCCATTAGCATTGCAGAGGCAACACAGCTAAGAGAGCAGGAGCTGGATTCTATTCCTTCTTGTGCATTTTCTACTGAATTGTTAATCAAGTTCCAATTAATTACTCCAGTGGTTCTCAAACTATTGTACTGGTGACCCCTTTCATATAGCAAGCCTCTGAATGTGACCCCCCTCCCCTTATAAATTAAAAACACTTGTTTATATATTTAACACCATTATAAATGCTGGAAGCAAAGAGGGGTTTGGGATGGAGACTGACAGCTTGTGACCCCCCCCCCCCATGTAATAACCTCACGACCTCCTGATGAGTCCTGACCCCCCAGTTGGAGAACCCCTGAATTACTTCTGTTGAAGGCAATGGATTTGCCCAGGTGTCACAGATGCGAGTTAGAGCAGACACAGTCCTGCTCTAAGGCACCATTCTGCTGATTGGGGATTGCTAGAGTGCAGCATACTCTGGCTATGCCCCCTGCCTAAAACATTCCCTATCTAGGGGGGATGGTGCACGTGGCATAGAGCCAGCTCTGCTAGTTTTATGCCACCAGAGTATTACCCTGTGAGAGGAAAATCCTAAATGATCCTTTAGGACATCTTTAAGTGCCTTTTGTAATGTTGGCCCTTTCCTGGACCAAGGATCTGACCCAGTTGTAGAACCCCACAATGCCATTTTTACAGGACCTTGAGTAGGATGCTACTTAAACTGTATAATAAATACATATCTGGAGTTTCAGGAAAAGCTATTTCCCATTTGGATTGAACATATGACCTCTACTGGGCAATCGTATGCCTCTGTTGGTCACTTTTCTGACCTTCCTGCCTTAATTTTATCCTATAAACCTCAAGCCCAGCTTCTCTCTCAATAGATAGAATGTATCCTATATCTCTTTACTGTCTGTTGGTCAGTTTTTACAAAGGGGAGTTGGCTGCTAATGTGATACAGAATGTATGTAGAAGTAACCTTGGGTGGATTTAGGTTGTGGGAATTTATCCATTAGAGAGTTTGCCACAACTGAGAGAAAAAAATATTTTTAAATAAATAAAACAAAAACCCACCACACACACATTGCTGTGCATCTGTGGGTAGAATTATTTCTGTCTAGCTGATCAAAGTGTTATGAACATGTGTGTGGATACTTAAAGTTGTACATTTGATCAATGATGTTTTAAGCAGATTTTTGCTAAAAGAGATTATTAAAATGTTTTTTTTTTCTAGGAATAACTCTGGTTTCACACCAGCAGACACCGTGGCTATCATTTTTTGTTCCACACACAAATCCCTCACCCTGGGTAAGTCATTATGAGAGGTCAAGTTTAGCTTTTCAGTGCAATCACAGTAATTCACTTTGTTGGAAAAAGTTGTTTTTTGTTAAATCAAAGTAGTAGTTGTTTCAGTGTGACAAGCATGCAAACATTGGTATATTAAGGATATTGGTATATTAATGATAACATTTTTGCACGGGGTAAATAAATGTTTATTAAAAAGGAGACAGCACGGTTTTCTCAACTGGGAGTTCAGTAGTTGTACTGCAGTGCCATTAATCTGCTCTTATTTTAGAGGGAGCTACTTCATTTTCTACTTGTGATGTTCCAATACCCTAATCCAATATTGATAAAGTTTGAGGTTCATTACTCATAATGTTCTGAGTTATTCCTACACTGTCACCCCAGAAAGATGATATTGCTCAAAACTGCTTAGCATTTGCCGTGCTTAGCATATTCCAAAATAGATCACTAAGGACAGTTCTGTTTTCTGTGTAGTTTAGCAGCTTAATTGTATTTATCTGAAGTCTGCAACATCTTCGGACTGTGTGTATAATTTATTACAATTCATTAGTCAAAAACATTATTGAAGTATTTGTCATTTAAAATTACTTAGTGATAACAAGCATGGTCTGATCGAAACATACAAAATATAATTAAAATAGTTATGTTTCGAGTGTCATGAAAGTGCTCCATTCCTATTCCTGTTCTCTTCTGCCGATCAGTCAGTGGCACTATTGGTGGCTGTATGTTTTCTTATTTCTTTCCAAAACTGGAAAATATTTGTTTGATAAAGTACAGCATATATAATTGAGTTTTAACCTTTTCAAGCCTGTAACTATCAAAGATAAAACTTTAGTTATTAAATGGAGTTGGATATATTAGAAGGAATGGTAATGACGATCTTTACCATTGAGTAGCATTTCTACAGTTACATTTTAATATACAGAAAGTATTTATTTTGATTTCTTTTAAACTGCCTGGATACTTTGAATTCATTTTTAATAAAATCAGTTTGCATTGCTTTGAGTACAATTTCAGACAATCTGTAGTACATATGACTTCTCTTTCATATAAGTATAGCACAGTACAACATGTGTGATTAGACCAAGTTACCTGCAGACCTAGGGTACAAGTGTGACCTGACAGAACAAAGGGCATTGATTTCAACTAGCTAAGAATGTGCAATTATTTTATCATTTTTTTCTTGAGACTGTGATTTTGTGTGTAGACTGCACACACTTATATAATTGCTGTGCAAATAAAATCACTACAGTGGGTGCTTAAACATGAGAAGCCTCCAGGGGATTGCTTTCACCCAGAAAAAATCACGGATCTGTGTTCTCATGCTATAAACCCTCCAATATAGCCCTGCCTGAATCACACATGGCATACACTGAAGTCAGTGCTCCTTCTCTCCAGCCTTTTCCCCACTAGCTTGTGACTCAATCCCCGTTCATTATATTTTTATTTTCTCCCTGAAGCTACCTGGTTCCTAGCTCCTAGCAGCTGCTGAATAAAAAGTAACTGCTCTCCCTGAGACATCTAAATTAGTCAGGTTTTGCTTGCACTTTGTAGTGCTCTGTGTACGTGCAACAGATGTGGGAAAACAGCAGCCAGCTAAAAGTTCAGGACTCTTTGGAACCTGTTTTCTCCAGGACTCATAATTCCTCTCTACTAATATATGTAGCTAGTATAGGCAAAGAGGTGTGCAAGTGGATAGGTGGTGGGGGTGGTTAGCCAGAATATTGCAGCCCCTCCTCTTGGGTGTAAACTTTGCCACAGTTATGTTAGCCTTTGTCAGCTTTGGGGTAGATTGCTTCACTGGGGTTACCCTTGAAGAACACTCAGAAGTTCCAGCTGGTATTTCTTGCTGCAGTTTACCTCCCCAGTGGTCAGATAACTGGGAGCACACTCGTTACTGTTTAAAGCTCTGAATAGTCTAGCACTCAGCTGTCTGAGAGATTGCATCTGACTCTGTTACATCTCTGCTGTTAAGATCAGTTGCATTGCTCTTGTTGATGGTTCCTGGAGTTTTGTTGTAAGAGACCACAACCAAGGCATTCTGAATGGAGCGCTCCCATTTGTGGAAAGTGGTTCTTTTGGCAGTTCACCAGAGCCCACAGTTAGCAAGTCTGAGGGCAGTGTATGTAAGCATGCCTGTTGTCCGTCAGTTGCCAATTACTGTTTATCCATTGCCTCTGACAGAGTATGCATTTTTGTTTCTGTTAATTATTGCTCTGGTTTCTAGATCCCACAGCAAAGGGAACGTCAAAAAAAAAAAAAAAGGCATAGCTATGTAAATAATTAAATGAATGGAGCTTATCAGAAAGATCTGGATTAACAAAGCTTTAGTATTATGAAAATTGCCCCCAAAGCTAGTGGCATAAATAAGAATCTTTAACCTATGCAATTAACATTTATTGTAAAGTTATCCCAAGTTCCTCTCCTGGTCTATGGCTGCGTTACAGGGGTAGTGTGTGTGTGTATAACAATAAACTGTTCCTGAATGACCGTTCAGTGTACTAGATCCTTGTTTGTTTATATCAGAAACCCAAGCTGGCTCCCAATGAAATCAATGAGAGTTTTGCTTTTGACTTTAGTGGGAGCATAACAGGCAGAAGATGCCCATGCTATGTTGTTGTTCCATCACATTTTACAGGGAATATTTACTGTAAAGCATGCAAAAAAACTGCACTAATGTTAGTACTTCTGTCTCCAACATCATAGTATCTGAGAGAACCACTGCAGTTCAGGGTCTTGTTTTAAGCCCATTTTGGGCAGTTGTTTTCATTTACCTTCAGGACATGGCCATTAAGCAACTGGTAACATATAAATGATCTCCTACGACAGTAGCTTTATTTTGGGGCTTGAAATTCGTTTTTCTCATCTTGACATGTGAAACTCCAATAGGTGTTTCTTGTCCATTCCCTGGGGATTTTAGAATGGAACCAACAGAAGAGGAGGAAGAGAGGACAGCTTTAAAGCTTTAGAAGTGGTAATAGGAGAAGCACCAGAAGACTTTTGTAAGATATTTCTCCCGCACCATGTTAAGAAATCGACTAATTCTCATGCAATGCATGCTCAGCTGCCATTTCCACTGCTGAATTCATGAAAAATTGCTCGCTCTACACTGAGACAAGTGCTGTCCCCATAAGTCGGGGTTTATTTTATATACTGAACAGCTGACGCACCTATTTTTCCTCAAAGATCAGGTGCAGGCATAAGGATGAATTACACTGACTAGGTTCCTTATATTTTTCATTCGGTATCATAAACTGATTAATATTTCTTAATATAAATGGTCCTTTCAATGATTTCTAAAGAGTATACATCATGTTGGCACGCAAAACCATATTTATTTCTATTTCATTTAACTAGTGAATTAGGGATATAAACTTACAAATAGTGAAGATAAATGTGGTATCCTCACATATTCCCCCACACTTTGTTCTTTCTCTCCTTCTCCCCATATATACACAGTACATGTGAGTACGCACACATGCAGACATTTGATTCATGGCTTTTATTAGTGCATTTGCCAATGATTGATTAGTACTTAGTATTAGTACTTCTTCTATTGATTGATTGCAGATGAAGTGACTATTTGACCTTTAATTATGAGTCTTGCTATTGAAAATGACATTGAGCTATGGCTTCACATAATCCATCTGGAAAGCCTGACATGATGCCATTCCCTGGAGTTCGTTCAGCAAGAAAGAGGAGGCCTGAAGGAAGTGCAGAGCGATCAGTATGGTTCATCTAAAACAATACTGCAGGCTTGGTTGCCTGAACTTGTATATAGTCTCTGGCTAGCGTAGGAGATTACTGTATCTTTTATACTAGCTACAGGTCACCACTTAAAAAATAAAAATGCAGACTCACCAGTAATTCAGTTTTTAATTTAAACCTTCATAATAGTTCAATAACTACAACCTATACATATTTTATCCAGCAGAAAATAAATAGCTGCTACCTACTCTGTAACATCAGCATACCAGATATGATTGACAAAGGATTGTTAAAAAGCCCCTTATGGAATTAGGATTTTGTTTTCAATGCAGCGTACATTTTCTCATTTAGATGGCAATAAGGCAATGGCTTTTTAGAGTCTTAAATAAACCCAATTAAATTTTTCAGTTTATATAAATACTCTGAGGAAGAAGCTGTAAATTTATTTATTTTGGTCAATTTTACTTGAAAATGTTTGTGGTTTAAATTCATTTGAAGGATTTTTATGTTTTGGTTTTCTTTTTTAATAAAAATAGATTGTCCACTCTGCACTGAAGCAATAAAACAATGTATCCATGTTCAGACAATTTAAAAACAAGGTAGCATGCTTCTGCATTTGCCTGTTTTATGACGATGAGAATCTAGCTGCTTTAAATATAAAAAGGCCAAAAGATTGGATTCAGATTACAGACTGCGATAAAATAAGGCTTCTTTTAATTACTGCATAAAAGAAACACAGTGAAACCAGAAATATTGCCAAGTTTCAGCCCAGAGTTAATTTGTATCGTCAACCATTGCAGACTCAGTAAATATGGAGCTGAACCTGCAGGAATAATGAGCACTTCTTGCCTGGTGCTGAATGCTTTCTGTTCCCAATGACTTCAAGTTTGTGCTCTGTAGCCCTGATTCAGCAAGTAATAAGGCATGTGCCTAATTTTAAGCATGTGAGTGATTCCACTGACTTCTCGTATAGAGTTCCCAAAGGGTAATGCTGTGCAATTACTGATGTTCTCCAAAGGCCTTCATTTGTGAGGTTATGGAGGATCCATCTTGTAACCTCTTTTGTTCGATATTTATATGAAGACTAAGAGGCAACATTTTAGGCTGCATAATTATCCACTTGCTGCTGATATTTAGTTTTATATGGCCTTTTCATCTAACTTGATTGAGAAAGGGATCTAGGTGAAAGTGACCTGCCTGCATAAGAGAGAGATGATTCTTGTTGGTAGGGGATGGCATTTGAAAGAACAGATGGCTGGAGGCTGTATCTGGACCAAGGTGTACTCCCAACTTCT